TCATACATTTAAAATTAAAACTATTGAAATTTTCGTCATTTTTCTTTGTAACATTTTCATAAAGGTATAGACTGACTATTGAAATTAAGTTTCTAAACGCCACTTCTAGAAGCCACTAAATAAAAGAATTGAAATTAATCTATTTTTTTTCCCACGTGTCGCTCGCGTAGTAAGTGGAGCGGGGATGAAAGGTAGCTTATGTTACGGTAATAACATTACCGTGCTTATGTTCCTCGTTTAAGAATAAATTTTACTATATTATATCCTTGTCAAATTTTATGGAATTCTCAAATTCTGTTCAGCAATTCAAGGGTGAAAAGATATATATATATATATATATATATATATATATATATATATATATATAAAATGCTTTGTCCTGACTGACTGATCGATCAACGCACAGTACATGTGCCTACTCTAATTATAAAAATTATGGCTGAAGTTTATTACAAGTATTGGTTTTAGTAGATACCTAAAATAATATTAATTTCTAAATTTTTCCCTTTTTTCCCTTTCAGAAAATATAACTTTTATTTTTCCGTTGGTATTTATAAAAATATACGAGTATGTACATATTTTTCCAAATATGCTAAAATAAAAAGAATACTGTCAACCTTCGTTAAGATCGTTTTCGCTGATATTTTCTGTGTAATTTTTTTTATATCTGTAAAAAATGCCCCCCAATGTGTGTAGTCTATGTTTTATTATTAATATGGCACTACAACAAATGTTGAGCTACATCTATACATATAATAAAATTGTAACTAAGCCGAATCTGTACATGAAATATTTTTCGGACAATCTTATTGAAATAGAGTTTATTATCGATATAGAAGCCGAATCAATAGTTTTTAGAATTTTTGTCCGTCTGTCTGTCTGTCTGTTACCGCATCACGAGAAAACTACTGGACAGATTTTGATGAAATTTAGTATAGTGATAGCTGGTTATCCGGGTCAACATATAGGATACTTTTAACCGTGGGGAAAATCTCATTTCTGAGAAAAAATACAGGCGGGCAATGCTATTTATGATATATGAAAATATTTAAAGTATTCTTTTATGTAATTTATTGCAAGAGAAAAATATACTTTATGATATTTTTTTTAATTATATTATACTTAAAGATATTATATTAAATGTATAAGTATGACCCTAAATAATTTTCAAGTGGGTTTTATTATTAATTTATTTTATAATACATTATATATGTACGTACGTATCACAACAGCAATTTTTATTTAGGCTTCTCCATTCACACCGTTATTATTTTAATTTATTGCATTTACATAATTTGAATATAGTAAAAGATCCGGAGTAATATTGTCAATAAGTGGATGAATTAATATAACGCAAACAAATTACAATTTTTTTTATTAAGGGAAGCTCACTATATTTCAGCTATTTACGATATATTTGTTTATATATTATAAACATTAAATACTTTTCATCCAGAAACCAGATGAGCAAAGTAATAATACTTCGGATCTAATCCTTCCTTCTACTACGACTAAGAGAGTATAAATAAAAAAAATATATTTCACTTTTCATGGATTTTTCCATTTACGAGTATATCCTGGATGTATAAAAAGGTTTTATAATTATAAATTCAGCAATGGATATATATATATATATATATATATATATATATATATATATGTACATCATTTTGATACTGTTAATTGAAATTGTTGCGTATTAAATTTTCTATCAAAAATTCTTACATCTTTACCTTCTTTGTCGTCCAAATAGTATACATATACACTTGTTATAAGAAAGTTAATAAGCATTCAAAGTAATTGCAGACAATCGATGTTGGATACTTGAGTACACGTGGTCGATCTCGTAGTCGTCTGGACTGCCTGTCGAATCTTATTCTGACATCTTTCCATCGATATGATTGATTCCGTATGCCTACACATAAATGGCTTATTAACAAGAAATAATAAATACACCAAAAATTTAAAAATGTAATACTCTCACGTTATGTGCAATGCTTATGATATTTTGTAATATACTAATATCTACAAATCGTTTCCCTCGGAGTAATTCTATTAAAAATAATAAAATACATGCTATAATTTAATATAATAATAAAATATATGACAGAATAATAAACGCAAAAATAAAAAAATACAGATTTATTTAATTATGCCATTTTTACTATGAGTTCTAGGGTTAGTCTAAATCTAGATTGCATAAGTTGTGTTATAATACAAGAACAGTGTATGTATGTACATATGTACAAAAACTCAGGCAAGTAAATTAAATAGAGTATAAATGTATAAAATAAAACCAAAAAAAGTAAGAAAAATTAAATTTTCTAAAAAGATTATTACCATATTTATTATGCTATAATGTGAAACTATACTAAGAAGCTAATTATAATACCATTTTAGGCATCAATCACTGCAATCGGCAAGTTCCACATATCGTATTATTTTTGCCCGAGTCGATATATAATAATTGTATATTATTTCCTAGCTACCACAGAAAAGTAGCTATAAATAGTATTATTATATGCATATTTATGAAGATTTTAGGGCTACTGGGATAAGTTACAAACAAACAGACAAATGTATATTAATTTTAGGCTTAAAAAACGGATTCCTTATCACTTGACACTAGAGTTTTGATTTGATTACTTATTTTTTGTAATATATTATAGATAGTTAGTTGATACCATACCCTTTCTCCGCAACAACTTAATTAAAAAAGAAATACGAAGTATATGGTCTCACTTATATTTCGAGAAAAAAATGTATAATAAAAACTCCACATTAATTCTTTAACTTTCAAAATACATATATGGAATACGTATCTCTTTGTTATACCCAACGTTAAGCACTACGATGTTTGATAAATATTTTTATTTATTTACAATGGTATTAAGATTATTTATTTTATTTTTGCAGCTTATTTATTTCATCTCATTTTATATAAAACATTATAAGAAATTTTAAATTTAGCCTTTGTTAGTGGTCATAGGTTAGAATATGGTTAGAAGCACTAAATCTTCTAGATCTAGAGACCAGCAAAATTTGAAAATGTTTTTTTAACAAAAGCTCATAAACGAATATCTCCACTACAGTTTAGATTATCATTTTACTTAGTCTTACTTTAAAAAAAAATTAAGAAACTGTCTTAAAATCAGTATACGATACTTTGTAATATTTAGAGATAACAGATACAATTAAGTAATAAATCTACTCTACAATTATTGTGCCAATAAATACATTACAAGAATAATTGGAAACGTGATAATATTGGACTTAAAGTATGAATTAAGGCTGTAAATTATATTGTAACAAGTTCGAAATCATGATGATCGTTGTGGCCTAGTGTTTAAAAGGCACTGTCTACTGCGCTAGATATCAGGAGTTCAGTTCATGCATCATCATTTATTTATATGTGTTTGTATATTGGATATATTGATAAATACAATTTACCTACACTGGTTTGAAACTTTTAAATTTCGCTATCTCTAGGGGATGTAGAGAAAAAAAAACTATATTTTATTTTACACTTTTATCTTCATAAATGATTAGGATTAAACTTAAAAAACACATCAAACTGTACCCAGCATAAAGAGATACCTATTTATTATTTCAAAGGTAAATCTCTATCTACTTGTAATTTTCTTCAGATATACCCAATGGATATCACTGATTTGAATATCTAAAAATTTTGTCTCCAAAATGCGATATTTATTTTCCAAAGGTGGATTTCTCTTTGAAGGTAACCCGAGGTTAAGGTTTTTATCGAGCCAGTGGCGGTGACGGATTCCTGCATAATGGCCACATCGAATACAAAGCAGGAGGCTTCACCCGAAAAGAATCTAATTTAAAAATAAATAGCCCCGTATTAGATAGTAAATGAAATGTAATATATGGAAATCGAATGCAAATAAAATTTTCTCTTATTCAACTCGGAAAATAAATTGACTTTGTATTTCTGTAAACCAATGTCCACATTTTATGTGAATACTATATGAAAGCATGAATTTAGTAACGTATAGTACTATGTATGCTATTATATTGATTTGTTACTATGAAAATGAGTCTGTTTTGTATTTAGATCAAAAATGTTAATTTATACGAAAAAATAAAAATATTCTTTGTTTAAAGTCTGATATATTTTAACAAAAGTTGTACACCTTGGTGCTAAATTTGATTTCCATGTAATAGAGGATGTAAAGTGGCTGTATACAGTATACATCTACGAAGGCAAATTTGATTTGTACACTACATATTGCTACGATCATGCGAGGGTAGGCGCGAAATACGTAATGGATTATTTCAAGTATTATAACATAATATTGTGAAATGCACGACTTTCCTTCAGTACATCGCATGACAATAAAGGCTACTTGTAAACGCAGTATGTCTAGGTCATAAATACTAAAAAACGTGTTTTTACAAAAAAATATCTTTTGCATAAACTAATTAAGCAATAGAAAAATGAAAGAAAATAAATAACTAAGTGAATTTTTAAAGTTTTTGTCTTTTATTGTTCGTGTAATTCGATAATTGATATTGCAGTACTTATTGTTTTGTGTAATAATCATTTTGTTAAATTACGGACTGCTTTTTTTCTCCAATATAAAAAGCTATGCATTTGCAAGAACTGGACTTAACAATATTTATTTAATGAAGAATGAATCACGAAATCAGAGAGTGGTTGTATTATATTAATTTATTATTTACATTAAATCACTTTTAAACACAATCTTTCAAATAATTTAAAATCCCAATCTGCACATATATTTCATTTATATTTAGCTGTTAATTTTTATTAATAGCTCTGCTGAAGTTACATACAAATATTTCGTCCCTTTCACTCACATAATTATCACAGATTTATTTTATTTACATTGTTAGTTTTGTACTACTGAATGTAGCTGTACAAAAGTGGAATCGATATTTTACAACTATTTTTATACAAAAGGTACTTGTGGATTTAATTAACTTTATACATATAAATTTTATGAATATTTCTATCTTCTCCGGTAGAAACCTCTGTAGAAGTATCTTGGGACAATCGGGCCTGTAATGAGAAAAACTGTGTTAATGTGTGTGACCTGATATGGTTGTATGGGAAAAGGTCGGCTTTGAATTCGACACAATACACTTGAAAATGTATGTATATATGTTTCGTAAATGTAAATGTCAGAAATTGAGATAGCAAGGCTTATAAAATTATATCTTACCGACCATCAGTAAGATAATTTGTCACATACAATGGTGAAGACACAAGGAAGACTTCCCTTGTGTCTTCTCCATTCTACGAGACATTGACGAAATAATCTGTGCTCTACTGGCAGGTTTGAAGCCATTAACAAGAGAATGGATTTGATTTTTTTTTTATTATTTACTTGTACGTTACCTAATATAATAAAAAATTCGAAAGTGATTTTATTTATTATGACACATTAAAACACTTATCGTTCTAACTAATATGTTAAAATGTTAATTACTATAAATAATATACTACTAGAATAAATTACAATATTTATGAATATTTTGTACAAAAGTATAAAACAAGTAAGTAGAAATCGAATTGGAAAAATTGTAGTAAAAACATAATAACTCGTCTTATCGCCTCTACCAATGGTTGACACGTTTTTCGCGTAGAGATTTGGCATTCAGTAGGGGAATGCAGTTTGCGTGTACCATGTATGACGCATTCTTGCCACTATTCTTTGACTTATACAGTATAACAATATTGCACATATATATTAAAGTATAAATTTCGTCTTATTAAAGAGTATTATAAACGTTAAATAATTTTAGTAGTCATGGTGTTCTATTAAACATTATTACAAATACGAAAATTTGTATGGGTTTGTTTATATTTATTGTGTCACGCTGAGACGAATTTTTATGAAATTTGGTACACAGATGGCCTGTGGATGCTTGGGGCTCCACAATACTAATAATAACAATTGCCAAAAGGCGCTTCTTCTACAAAAGCCACCTAAAGACGTACCCAATCGAAGTACAGCTAAGTCGTTACTTGTTAGTAACCAAATACAGGTAATCAGTCGCACCCAAACTATTAAATATGATGTTGAAATAATTCTCTTAATATCTAAGTAATAAATTAACATCCTACTAACATAACATTATACAAAATAAGCTATCACAATTTTATAGCCAAACACTGTATTTTATATTACACAAACTCATAAAACGTACAATTTATACAAAGTTAATTCGAATCTTATATTAGTTCTCGCTTATAATAACAATGTTTGTTTAAGCGCGCTTAGGGTAGGTTGTCTGTGTCAAATTTCACGCTTGCTGAGACGGAAATGCACAAAGTTTCCTTTTGTAGCGTTTCTCATAACTTGATTTGTAACGGTGCAACCCTTCAGGGTTCCGGTGCGGCGCCGCGGCGGCGAGACGCGCCACTTCCGCGCTACCGCGATACTTCGCTACATATGATGTTTGATATCCTTTCATATTTGGACACTTTATGTCACTTTTCTTTTACGTGATATATTATTTTTGCTATAAGAGTTTCATATAATAATAGAGTAGAACTAAGAAACTTGGTTTAGTTAATTAATTGTTTGTATAAAAACTAAACTAAAATGCTTTGTGGCGAATGTGTAAATTTTATTAAATATGTAAATTAGATTTGTGTAACAGACAAATATAGTGGTGAATGTACCGATACAGTGCAGTATTATTATATAATTATAATAATATATAGAAACATATATTAGAGACTACAAAAAGCTGGAAGCAACGTCTGAAGAATTAATATTTATAATTATTGACAGACCCTTAATATAAAACTGACAAAACATATTACTATTTATGGGCCTACGCCTATAATTTATCTATACATATAATAAAATTATAACTAAGCCGAATCTGTAGATCAGATATTTTTTGGAAAATCTTATTGAAATAAACAATATTATCGATACAGAGGCCGAATCTATAGTTTTTTTAGAATTTTTGTCTGTCTGTCTGTCTGTTACCGCATCACAGAAAAACCACTGAAGGGATTTTGATGAAATTTGGTATGATGATAGCTGGTTATCCGGGTCAACTAATAGGATACTTTTTACCGCGGGAAAATATCGCATTTCTGAGAAAAAATACAAAAACTAATGTAAGAATATACTAATATATAAAACCTAAGAATTTGGTTTTTGGTCATCTGAACGCAGGCGGAGCCGCGGGCAGTGCTAGTATTTAATATAAACAATACTAAATTAAAAAGTGTAAAATAAAGTTACTTAGCGCTAGTTTGAATTTTTCCGATTTTTTCGCTAGAGTGTAAAAGGAAAGTGGGATATTAATTATTCCTTATAATGAATTCCTAAACAGACATAATGAATAAATATAGGTGATTAGTTCCACTCTAAAAGGTATTCAAAACGGTAAAGGATATTGTTAAATCACGAACACACTGTGGCTTCGACACTGCTACAAATTGGCACAAAAACCTTGCTAATGTTTTGTTGGTGGGAATTTAAGTAGTATATTGTAAAAAGTTTATAAGTTTTATTCAATTTGTCATGAATTTGATATAAATACATTTATGATAAATACATTTATGATAAAAAATGTTTACGGAACTTTGCTAATAAAAGCAAATTTATTCATAAAACCTAAGCATATCTAGTAATGATACTAAATCCACTATTTTATACTAGCTATGGTGTGATCTCTGTGTTTAAATTCTATCAGAACCCATATTATGTACCGAGCTCTACTCAAAGTTTTAAATGGAATAAAAAAGATAAAGCCATAGATAACATCTTCTATATAATACTTTCTTAGATTTACGCGAATACTTAACATTTTAAAGTTTTTGATGTTTTAAAGTTAAAAAATATTGTAATGTAATTGGTGCAATTTTCATTTTGTTAATTGTGGGTAGGCTGTCTGTAACAACTATACCTTCAAGACATGTAACACCTCAGTCTCTCCCGTGACCATGGATGCTGTAAAGCATTCGAAACGTCGGGAACCAAAAATCAAAATAAATTCGCGAAAAAATCCGAAAAGATAGTTTTATCTTCTATATACTCGTATATAAAAGGCAAAAGTGACTGACTGATGTCTCAACACACAGGCCCAAACCCTTAAGGCTAGAAAATTGAAATTTCGCACACGTATCCCTCATATGACGAAGCATCCACTGAGGAAGGGTTTTTTGAAAATTCAACCCCCAAGGGGGTGAAATAGGGGATGAAAGTTTGTATGAAACCTACGTTTTTAGAGATTTTATTTGTAGTTTTAGCGCGAGCGAAGCCGCAAGTTCTGCTAGTTTTTTCATAAAATAATAATAATGAAAGAATAGATTTTGTATGTATAAATTCTTATGATAAGTAGTATTGAGAGTAAAAATTATAAACATTAAAAATTAAATGTTAGTGATAAAATAAAAATAAAAAAAATTCTCCACTTTATCTGTCCTAATGGTCTTTCAAGCACGTCATTGAAAAATACTGAATCTTTTCAATTTGAATTTTATCAAATGTAAAACTAACAATAGATAAGGCTTACATTCATAGCTATTACGTTAATAGTGTATTCAAACTCAAAGCAAAGGTCGTGTGTGGAGGACGAAACAAATAGGAGCTTGTTATAACTAAATAGCGATTCCAATCACTGAAACTACTAACTGTACATTGTCTATATTGTAGTTATTAAGGCAATATCAATCGTAATTATATTTTAAAATTGATAAATCATTATCAAATATTTCTAATCTTAACATTTTTTGCTATCGGCCTCTGCTTACATTTTTGTAAATATTGAATGAAATAAATAATTAAATAAAAAAATAAATAAAATTAAATTAACAACTAGAGTCTATTCTATGATACCTTTAAAATTTACATGTTTCAAAATGTTAAATTTACACAAATAAATAAAATTGTGTCTGTTTGTAATGTCAAAATAAATTTTTTTTACTAAATGCATATGAAATTATATTATTATAAGAAAAACACAATTTTAAAGTTTTTGTCTGTCTGTCTGTTTGTTCCAGGTAATCTACGAAACGTTTGGACTGATTTGGACGGGACTTTCACTGGTAGATAGCTCTTGTTATAAGGAGTAACTTGGACTATTTTTATTTAAGAATAAGAATTAGGGTTCTAATTACTGGATAAGCCGCTAGTCTATACTAATATTATAAAGAGGTAAAGTTTGTGAGATTGTGAGTTTGTAACGTTGTAGGGAGTAATCTCTGAATGTACTGAACCGATTTAAATGAAATTTGGTAAGAAAATAGTTTGAGATCCTAGGAAGGACATAGGATACTTTTTATTCCGGAAATCATCCCTTGAGGGGGTGAAAATGGGGATAAAAATTTGTATGGGGGACCAAGCTAAGGACGTGTGAGTCGCTAGTTATAAATAAATGTAAGAAGGGGCGGTCTCAGTCCATGATATTAAAAACTATATTTGACATTCTTTTAAAATTTCATTTCATTATTTCAAATATTTAATAGATAATTAATATAATTATGAAAGTTAGATCCTTATCTGGTCATTAGTTCAGCTTGTTAGTTTATTGCTTACAAACCTATTATAAATGTTAACATACACAAATTATATTTTTAAACTAATGTAAGTGAAACAGGTTCAAGCCCCGGATCTTGTACCTCTTACAAGTATGTTTTCATGTGCGAATCATTTTCGACATGATTTCCACTTGTCCTGCGGGGAAGGCAAGCATCGTGAGGAAATCTGCATATCTGATAGAATCGAACTAGTTTGTCGAAAGACATATGAAGTCTGCCAAGCCGCAGCTGGCCAATGTCATCTACATACACCATAGCCTTAGCGTCCTTGCATCCTTCAACTAGCGGAAAGCCCTTCTCTAGCAGTGGGACGTTCATATATGGTTAGGTAATATTAAGGTATACTGGTAAAAATATTAACATTGGTGATTTTCACCAAAACAAAAAATATCGACGATATTCTTATTTTTATATCTTATTTGTAAAGTTAATAAATCCGATTTATAACAAAAAACTTTACATTCATAAGTTCTATCAGATTTAAAGCTAAACAG